AAAAAAATAGATCATAACTAAATTTATACTATTTTTAAGCTAAAATTGTTACATGAACTCTACAGCTTAAGGGATAAGTAAATGTGGTTTCAATGTATAGATGAATTCTTTAACAATAGGATAAATATCAAAGACTGTAATTCACGATTTATTTGCATAATATGATTTTAATAAAAAATAATTAATATTTAAAAATATAATATTGAGTGAACTGAAAATATCCATTTTTGCTAAATATTTGTAACTGTATTTTACAATAACTTAAATTCTGTAAAATTTATTAAATAATATACTCTTTTAATGCAAAGTATAGTACATTCGTTCTCTCCCGTCGATCATACTATTGATTGTACAATTTCATAGTTTATTAAACTTATACTACAATGTGCTGTTTAAATATACTGTACATGCATATTCCCTTGTATTTTGTTCCTACTAAATATATGCATTCAGAAGCTTTTAGAAGAGCAATAAAAATATTAGATTCTTTTTACTTTGTACTACTGAAGTATGTATACCGAAACTGAAATGAGCTGCCGTAATTTATACTATATATATAATTTAAGGTTTTAGATTTCCTGTCAAAATTCTCAATAGTGTGAGAGTAAAAGCCTGCTCTCACACATCAGATCAAAATTTACTAAAATCATAGTAAGTATCGGTGAGATTATATTTATTTTAATCTGATGTAGATATTAATTTGGCGCACAACATATACATAAATACTTCTATGCAGAAATCTTGAGAATTTTTGAGATAAGCCGCTTAATGATAACATCATATATATACTAAATTTTGAATAATTAAACAATCTTTATCGTTGGATCAATAAATTTGGCTTATCTCAATGCATTCTTCTATATTTAGATGCAGTTTTAGAGTTCCTTTGTTATAATAAACATGAATTACATTATAGATTTCCACACCATGCTATAAGTATAAATAAGCTTTAAGAGTTTTAGATTTACTGTATGAATTACTATCTTTCTTCTTTGTTGATTTGGTCAATTCATTATTATAAACCTACTAACGAAACTAGTCAACAAAACCAAATAAAAACCCACTAACGAACCTGTTAATGAATCCATTAACAACCTCAAAAAAAAAAAATAATAAAATTAAGCACCAACCATTAATGATCAAAAATTCTGCTAGCTTATATAGTATTTCTAGTTACTGAAAAGCATAAAATTTTACCATAAAATGGTTTATAATATGGATGATCATAACCATGATGAAGACAGTATAATAAATACCGATAACTCAGTTTCTACATTAGTTATATCAGAAACATCAGAATTAATTACTGATGAATTGACTAATTCACAAAGATATAGATCTCCTGTCTGGAAGCATTTTTCTTTATTAGAAAATAAAAAAAAGCTAATTGTAATTATTGTAAAAATAAACATAGCTATAAAAAAGGCAATGGAACATCTTACCTTCAGCGTCACCTCAAATCATGCAATAAGTATCAAAAATCGGCATCTAATAGTGATTCATCAAGTCTACCAGAAGGTCAAACACAATTAGATCTTAGTTTATTCGTAAAACGACCTTTGAAAATTTCAAGTAAAAAAGATATAGTTGACATGATAATTAGGGATGAACTAAGTTTTTAGTTTGTAGAGAAACCGGGTTTTCGAAAATTTCTTAATGGAGTGTTGCCTAATTTTGACATCAGTGCTAATACAGTAAAGCGAGATATTATGAATTCCTATGGTGAAAGAAAAGCTTTTGTTAAAAAAATTCTTCAAAATACAAATAGTA